CATCACAACTACAGAGACAAGTGGTTTTTATTCTATTTGTTACATTTTATTTAGATTGATAGTTTCTATTTTTGGTTTCTTTTGCTCTATATTTTTTAAACTAGATTTTTTTTTGTCTGTGTGTAAAAGTGTTGTTGAAATTAACCCTCGTTATCATTTAAATACTGCATGAAAACTCTTAAGACCTCTGAAATGCAACAATTGTCATCCTGTGAGCTCAGAAAGCATTTCTGTCCCCAAACCTGCAGACACCTGTGCTCAGATATCAGGACTGTTTTTTTCATCCTCTCATGACCAGTTATTGCTTCTTGTTGTGTTTCAGGACTACAGCGATGCAAGCAGTGTCTTGGTTCAAGGCCAGGCGTCTCTGAAGCTACAGACCAACAAACCCACCGTGAACATGGAGTCTCACAGCTCGCAGGTAACAGATTGCAGCTAGTGCCCCCTAAGGACCATTGCACCCTCCTTCACAGTTCGCTGTATGTGGCTGTAGTTTGAATCTCTGAGGTATTCTCTGCAGATTGAGGTCTACATCTATCCAGATCTGGGGCTACAGGTGGACTCTGGCGCCCCCCTATGGATCATCATGTTGTCTGCCCTGGCAGGTGTCCTGCTGCTGGCTCTCATCTGTCTGCTGCTCTGGAAGGTAACCCGGGTGTTAACATACAGAAATGATGCAGCAGATAACGTCATAGTCCAGGGAAACTTTTTGGCTATTATCCCCCGTCTCCACAGTACTCATATTGTTATAATAACAGCTTAATTTCAGCTGCCTGGTGTTTTGTGTGTAAACTGAAAGATGATTTTGATCAGAGGAAGTCTTTAAATTGCTCATTTGGCATAGAAACTGGGAGAAAACGTCTTAAATGATTCCAGTGAAATCTTTGTTCCTGAGCTGGAATTACAAACCATCTCTGAAAACTCAAGAGTGTCCGCTGGTTCCAGTTTTAGGTTCCAGAGCAGCATCAACTCATCACCACTCATCACCACTCATCATTCATCTGTATCGTGAGCGTTATCTCTGTAAAGTGTTGTGTGTCGCCCCCTGCTGTTCAGTGTGGGTTCTTCAGGAGAGCCAGCACCAGGGAGCTGTACCAGGCAAAGACCCAGAAGGCCAGGATGAAGAGCCAGCCATCTGAGAACGACAGGCTGACCGAGGAGCTCTGAGGCTGGGGCACCGCAGCCAGAGAGCCCGGCTGTGAGGACCAGAGGTGGAAGGGTTACCAACTGATTACTGAGACTATGAAAAGTGCTGAGTCAGATCAAAGTTAAAAAGTGCTTGTTTAAAATAGTCAGCACTGATCCTTTGAGGTTCTTTGAAATTTTGTCTTAAATTTGATCAATTCTAGGTTTTTACTAATAACAACACCCCCACAAATTCATCTCCCATAATAAAACCTGTTTCATCCATAATCTCAGGAACCATTTGACCTCCTGTTTCCATCCTTTTCTAATTGATCAGCTCACCAAAAAATGTGCTTGCTTATGTTTGTTGGCTTTTCTCTGCAGATTTGATGGAGCTTTTATTCTGAAAGGAGCCACAAAGGACACATTAACGGAAACGGCAGAAAAAAATTAAGCGGGCTCACCCTTTAATGTGTCTGTGGCCACACCTGCTAGATTTTTGCAGCCAATCAAATCAAATTTCACACACACAAATCCCGACAGACTCCTTAAACCAACAAATATTCAGTTTGCTGTCAATGCAAGGGATTATGGGAAATCACCCCAAACTAGCACCAGCATGAATCTGCCTTTCAGCAGATCACTGGTTATCCCAGCAAGCTCACCTGTGTCACCTGTTCACTGCCTCTGTGTCTCTGTGGACATACAAGGTCTCTGATCCTTCTTTTTCTCTGCAGTGCGGGTTCTTTGTGCGTCAGGGGGTGTGGCGGGCGGTGGCGCTCCATCAGGGGAGGATTATGGGTAAAGACGACCTGCAACAGCAGCACATGGATGCTGACGGATTCCTGATCCAGGACCAGGTCTCCTCATGTCGAAACAGGAAGTCCCCGAAACACTGGGTCACTTCCTGGACTGAGACTCACTGAGAGACTCTCAGCGTCTGAAAAAAGAAACCAGACCGGACCAAACTGGACCAAAACAAACCAGTTCTAACTGGACCAAACTGGACTAGACCAAACCAAACCAGTTCTAACTGGACCAACACACTGCCAATGTGAGTCTGCTGTCATGTGAAAACCTCGTGATGTGTTTACGTTCATGTTGTAGACGGAGATGTGAGGTTTCCAGCTGACAGCAAGCACAGAAGATTATAGATGATTGGTTATTGATCTGTGTATATGTGTACATCTCTTAGCCATGGATTGGAAACAGATTGGTGTTTTCCTTTAAAGGGCTGGAATCAAAATGAGGGGACTGCTCCTTTAATATGGCAGCAGTCTTTGTGCTGCCTTCAAGGACTCCCCGTAAAATCTCCTTTGAGAAAGCTGTTAGTAAAACCATCCCGGTTGCCTTTAGGTGCGGTCGGCTCTTCTGTGAAACTGTTTGGTGTCTCGTGTACTTTTACAGGCTGTTTTTGTATATTTGTGATATTTCTGACTGTGCTTGAAAGTCTATGTAAAATGTGGGTGCGTTAACTGCATATCAGTGTCTTTGTCAATGATATTAAACTATGTTTTGTATTATTAACTGGCTCTGCTGTTTAGAATAGAATAGAATAGAATAGAATAATCCTTTAATTGTCCCACAAGGGGAAATTTGGTTGTAACAGCAGCCAGAAAGACACATATACAAACAAA